AGCCCCCTCTGCCCCCCGCCCAGCCCCTGCCAAGCCCTGGGGCGGGATGGAGCGGGGAGGAGGAGGAGGAGGGGTGCATCGCAGCGCTTTAAAGAACAAGATGACAAAGTTTGTTGCTTTGCGAGAATGTGCTGACTGTTTGTTTCTTCCCTTCTCCCTTGTCTCCTCTCTCCCTTTTCCCCGTCCCCCCCATCTTTCTTCTCATTTGGCTCCCCCCATCTCCCGTCCCCTCTCTCCTCCCTCTCCCGTATCTCCCAGGGCTAATCAGTTGTAGGAGCCAGTCGGTCCAAGAGAATTCCAGTACCAACATGGGGTTGGAGGCAATAATTAGGAAAGCCCTAATGGGTAAATATGACGAGCAGTGGGAAGAGCGCTCACCTCTCAGTGCCAATGCTTTTAACTCTCTGAATGCCAGTGCAAGCCTGCCCGCTGCTATGCCCATAACTCCTGCTGATGGACGAAACGAGGACGTGCGCTCCTTGCCAGGTCTGCAGCCCTCTCCACCTTCGCTCTCTCTGTGTTATTAATTCTCAGCCTTTATATTTCCCCTTTTGTGGGTTTATATTTCCCTCCCCTCCCCAATTGTTTTTTGTTCGTTTTGGTTTTCTTTTCTCCTCTCCCACCCCCAGCTTTGAGCTTTGTGAATCCGCTGATTAATCCTGGTCTTGTTTGATGTTAATTTAATAGTCCCAGAAGGTGCTGTTGCTTTCTCTAAACCACTGACTGTCTGACTGTGCTCCTTTCCCCGTTTGTTGGTTTTTAATATCTCCTTTTCCTTTTTTTTTTTTAAACACAATGGAAAGGTGTATGGGAGGGGGGAGAAACCCATACCCAAAAGACGGAAGCCGTTAACTTAAGTAGCCCCTCCAAACTGTCCATAGACCCCAGGGGGGATCATGGTTCCCGAAATAGGAGAAGGAGCTGAGAAGGGCCAGTATGGGGGGGCATGGGGCAGGGTGGCCTTTCCCCTTCCCACCCTGGGCTTGGGGGGTGTTGGAGCAGCCTCCAGCCTGGAACAGAGGGTTGGCTGGGACCTGGAGGTGCCTGGTGCAAGAGAAAGAGCTTAAGGGAGCTTAAGTGATAGATGGGGATGACTTCAGAGACCAGGGGCCCTTGCAGGGCTTGCAAAGCTGGCTGCGTGCAGTGACAGGGTCTGCTCGGCTTTGGGGGAGGCTTGAGTGGAGCCAGGAGGGGCTCATTCTGCAGATCCGTGGTTAAGAAGGAGAGGAGGGTGACCGGGGGTGGATGGGGGAGAGCGTTTGTCCCCTGCAAGCCTGCGAAGGGCAGGTTGCCTCTTGCAAGCGCCCTGTGCAGCCGGTGCTGGGGCTCACCCTTGGCAATCTGGGCGCAGAGCCCCTCCAAAACTGAGGAGCGGGGTGACAGGGGCACAACACGGGCCTTCCCCTGGGTCAGCACAGACCAGGCACTCTTCAGCTTGTTGCAGGAAAGTTTTCTGGGTCCTGCATGAAAAGAGCAGCTTCTTCCAGCCGCGCTTCCCCACGCCAGGCCAAGGCTGCCTGGGCAGGCAGGGTGGGATGCAGAGAGCATCCATCCCTTCCCACCTGGGGAGCTCTCCCCCTGGTTTAGCCAGGCTGACCTACCCAGCTGTAAGAGCAGATGAAAGACCATCCTGGCCGTGTAGACCCTGGGAATGGGGAAGGTGTTCAGGGCTCGAGCACCCACGTAGCTCCCGGGGCTCCTGCCAGCCGGC